CAAAACAGCTGGTTAAACTGTCAATCAAATGATTTCTCATAAATACTAACCTGAAATTTCGGAGCCTACATCTCTGACTTTTCTAAATCACACGTTGGTCAAGGTGGTTCATATGAGGAAACTTATCTGTGAAGTTGATAAGTCACAGTCACTTACTTCTGTTCCCACACGGCCACTGATGGAAACTGATCTCAGAGCAGTGAAACCAGAGCAGTAGTTTGTCTAGCACATTGATCCCCCATCGGTTTCACATCAAACCTGCTGGGTTCTTAGCTTGACAGGGTCCAGCTGTTGTTTACAGGACACACACATGTCCATGAAATCAAAGGAAGCTAAAGATTCCAGTGGCCCCATAAAGCAGAGTTAAGCCTGCTTCCAGAAACAACAGCCAACTGCTGCCACAAGATTCAGTAATTTTAAGGATGGATGCAAAATGACAGAATGTTTTATAACAACATAGTTTGAAATGAAAGCAGAAAGACTGATTTGACCTTGGAAAACTTTCTTTAATATCTATTTTTAGATTTCACCAGACAGGCAGTGCTTATTTCGAAAAAATGTCAATAGTTCTAGTTTATCTGTTATATTTAGCCAGCAGTTTACTTTCTTTATCCATACTAAGAACTGTAAGTGTTAGCTTCAACGTTAGTTAATAATTGTGGATTTTTCAGCCAGCTATGTAGCTACTTTTCTGCAAGCTGTCAGGTCTGTTTAGCTAACAGTTTAATCTGTTTAAGCTGATTTTAGCTAATGATTACATCAAAGGTTTAATCTATAATTGTATCCAGTTGTTACAACTGCTCACCCCAATAACTGTATAGCATAATATTTTAGCTGTTAACATCTATCCTTTTGTTAGATATTGTAACTGCAAACTATTTAGCTAATGCTGCACTAATCTATGACTTTTTTCTTGTTTGGCTAACAGTTTTGCCTATTTGATGTCAACTGCTAACCATAGTTTTACTTAAAAATGATCAACTTTCTTTGTTCAATTCAATCAGTATGTTTAACTAACAATTTATTGTGTATACATACTGTAGGCTAACACCGTCAGCGGTCAGCTATACTCGAGGTATAACTTCAGTTGTTTTTTGTTAATTTTATCAAGCTATTTTACTTTTTTATCCATACTGTAAGCTAACAGATTCAGCTGCTTATGCATACTACAGAGACTTTCTGACTTTCTGTAATCATTAGTATTAGCTATTGATTTCAGTTGTTGGTCATCATTTTAATGATTTATTTCAACTTTTTATTTTTTTATTTTTTTATTTTTGGTCAATTAATCATATTTAAGTCATTTATGTATTTGCTTTAAATTGTTCTAAAAAAGACAAACAAAAACCATCAAAGGTGACAGTACAGTCAGCTTATTTTAGCTTGTGTGCAGGCAAGAAAAAATGGTGTTGTAGTCCACACCTGTTGTGGAATGAAAATGTGGTCATTAAATTTATTTTTATTACAAAAACAAACCAAAAAAGGCACAAGGAGGCTGAATTGAGGACAAAAATATCTTCATTATACTGCTAATACAGCTGTTTGCAAACATCTGCACATGAAGCGTGCTAATGCAGAGCTAGCAGAGAACCAGGAGCGAGTGTATGCTAACCCTAAGCCTGCAGCCAGATCCTGATCTTCAGCAGATAACAAAGACAGGTTTACAGCACTGTAACCTCCATTTCTACCTGTGCATGTTTCTACTCAAGAAACACATTGCATGAACACTTTGAAGTCTCTTTGAGCTGTTTTGCAACATTACTTTGTGTTGTCAGCTCTAAGTTCAAACGCTAAAAGAAAGGTCAGAGGTGTGTCATCAGCATATTCATTTGCGTCAGTGTGTGGGACGCTAGTCTGAGGTTTATACTGGCAACTGTTAAATATGTGACAATAAATTTTAGGACATGTCACAATGTACCAGAAAATAATGCAGTGAGCTGTGTAACAAATTACTTTCTTCAGGGAGTAATTAAGTAATGTGTGATACATTGCTTTTTCTTTTTTTTTAAATAATAGCCCCAACACTGCTTTTAATTCAATGATAACTTTTCTGCTGAAAGACATTAATCTCCTTTTAAGTCTGCCTGAGATGATTATCCTGCAGTGCACTGAGTATTGCAGTACTCGGTATACAGAAGTAATACATCATTAACTACTATGATATTTTCTACTTATGTTCAACCAAGCCTTAAAGTCAGGTTTAGGGTTATTCAAGTTAGGCAGTTTACAAAAAGGAGGGTTAGCGTCATGTTAACCCATGAAATTCAAATGAAATGGTAGTTGATAAGCTGCAGGCTGAGGTAATATCACTCGGCGCATAGCTGAAATGTCTTTTTGTTTATTTAAAGGTTTATTGTACTGTGTGATGTGGAGTATTTCCACATATTTGGGGACAACCTTATTCATCTTAGACTGGAGAGTTATTTCAAGTTTTGCAGGCTTTTGTAGATAATTATACATGCATTATCTATGAGTGACTCCACACTCGTGTCAGATTGTATTACTCACACCCCAAGTGCAGGCTGTTAAATCTACTGTACACCTATTCAACTTCAAAATGCTGGGCAGGGTTGGAGAAGAGAAGTGCTGGACTCATCTCACTGGCGAATTGTTTCTTTTTTTAAAACACACACACACTTGAATTAGAGCATTTTAGAGTGTTGGGTCAGGCACAGTGCAGGGTCCCTGGAGCTGTTTAGCAGCTAAGTGGCCATAATGCATTTAGTGTAAAGTGACTGGGATTGGGGGGGCTTAGCCACAGCTCTCCGTCTCATTCTTAGAAAGTGCTCAGAGGTGCTAATACCGTCCGGATTTATGCCGCTCATTCACAAGCAGCTCGACTTCTGCGACAAACAGCCGTTCTCAGTCTGAGAAGCTGTCCAACAATTTCTTTTTTTTTCTTACATGATTTATACCTGTCTCTTTGTCTCCCTTCCCCCCTCTCTTTGCAGTCTCCTGTCCTTCTTTATTCACTCCACCTGTCTCACTTCCACCTTTCCTCCACATTTTGATTTCCAGCCTCACTCTAAGCATTGCAGAGACTTAAATCTCGGGTTTCCGTCTCACTCTAATGTCTCTCGACGGCGCCTTACGAAACCAGCCACCCCTCAAAGTTGCTACTCGCCCTACATTTCTTGAATACACACTTGTCTACAGTGAATGAGCAGAGGAAGAGACTGCAGTGCTTCACTATACAGGGTGTTGATGTCTGGAGATCCTACTCACTCTTAAGTGTGTGTGTGTATCTGATTTGTGAGTCACTTCATATGTGTACAGTTAATACATGAAAGCTAAGCCCGAACATGCGTGTGCAACCTAACACTTAGAATAAACCTGTGTTCTGTTTGTTGTATGTGCAACAGTGCCTGTTTGCATGCTCGAAGAGGCTGTACACACACAAAAGTCGGTGCGTATATATGTGTGTGTGCTACAATCACGCACAGCTTATGTAACGCCCAGGCATGTTATAACTTCACTGCGCCTGCTGTGTGTGTGTAGGTGCCTGTGTTTATGTGTGTGCCCAGTTGTGTGTAGCTATGGAAGCGTGCCCGCTCGCCTGTGTGTACATGTGCGTGTGAGTGCGCCAGACAGACTGCAATGCCGCAACCAGCCAGCCAGCCAGCTCTGTATCATCACTGACCATGCTCGCCATCTGTGCCTGCAAGCTATAGAAACGGCGTGCCGCACTGCTACACAGCAACGCCATTAGTGTCTTAGGAAACTATGCCTCTGTGCTTCCATCACATTCCGTGTTGTGCTGTATTCCTCAGGGTATATGCTCCTGCAAACATCTCCCACAGTGTATGTGTGTGTTTGTGCAGGGAGGCCCACAGTGTATATGGGTCACTCTCTCAGGAGCCATAATCCCATGTTTGGACCAACTTACTCACTGGGGTTTCACTCCTTCTGTTTGGCCAAGCTGATGGCAACAAGCATAATGACCTCACCACACCACTCGGTCATTGGCCTGCAGACCTCGGGCCTCTCAGCCAATAACAGATGGCTCTGGTGACGTATAGCCTTCAGTGGCTGTCCTGATTGGCTGAGGAGGCGGGACAAAGGGGCACTGTGCTTTTTAGAGCGCCTCTGATTTGCTTAGAGGGTGAAAGAAGAATGGAAGAAGGGAAGGGAGAGAAAGCATGAGAATTTGGGAGTTGGTGTTTTTTTCTGTGTGGCTCCTGTTGAAACTACACTCAACCTGTGGCTTACATGGATCACAGTGCAGCTGTGCAGCACATGGGAACACATGCATATACATAAATAGCACACATGTAGCTAACGAAGCGTACTAAATCTGCTTTAGAAACTGTGAGCTGAAGCTGGTGACCTGACATTTTGATCTTTATTAAATCTGATAATGTCATGGCAGTGATTTTTTTTTCTTCACTGTCCACTAAAAGGAAGTCTAACCTTTAGTTTGACAAGCCACAGCCCATTTTTCTGCATTAATGTTTATAGCCAAATGTAAACGATAAATAAATAAATAAATAAATAAATAAATAAATAAATAAATAAATAAATAAATGAATAAAGGCAGGAGGAGAGAAAGGTTTCAGTCCCGTCCTGCGTGCCTGTATAGAGTCGCAGACATACCCACATAGCAGCTCTATTGGACGCAGCAGCCTTGCTCTCCGAACAGCTGTTCTGTGTTTTCCCACACTGTGATTGGCCACGATGCGCCGTCAATCAAATTTACTTTGACGTGCGGCCTCGCCCCTACTCGCCTTACGCGGCATCCTATTGGCTACTGTACGCGTTCGTGTTCCGCGATTGGTCGGACGGGCTGGTTGTCAAGGCTTTGGGGCTTCATTCACCATTTTGCGACTGTAGTGTAGAATGTACAGGGCAGTAGTTTTTCCTCCTTTTAAGTTGCTTTGCCGGAGAAACATGAACGGCCGCTAACTGGCAGCTGCGGACGACTGGACACCCTGCCCTATTTTACCCAGCAAACTCATCAGAGAAACACACCGGGGTACTATACATGAGCTCTGGTGAGTACAGGCTGCCTACAAATCTTCTCCTGCAGCACTGCAGTGGGGCTTGTTGTGCGTTTGCTAACGTTGTTCATGTTTACCACAAACAGTATTAGCAGAGGAGCTGATCAGCACAGTTTGCGATATCTGGGTGGCCTGCGAAGAGACCGGAATGGGTGTCTTCTGCGAGAAAAAAAACAGGGAGCGGTGCGGCTTAGGCATAGTGAGCCTGAAACTTTTCCACGAGAAAATAGAACGCCATAACAGCCGTTGGACTTTCCAGAAACAGCGCTTATTTACGAAAAACCTCGAAAACTCCTCGCTTGTCATGCTTTCTTCCTGTTTTTTATTAAATCAGCGTGGCCATTTGGATTGATATGTGGTTTTAAAGCGCTTGTAGAGGCCTTTTTTTTCTCCCCTTGGGCTAGTTTGTGGCAACACACTGACACTAACCCCCCTCAAACCACCCCATGTAACACGGCTGCAATTATGCTAATAACGACGAGGGTGCATACTAAATTATCCTGGCAGCTTCAGCTATATTTTCACACGGTTGTCACTTTCGGATGGGCCAAACAAGCGACTTTGTGTAGCTGTTTGTCGCTTTAAGGTCGTGTAAGCTGGCAGATATGGGCCATATATGGTGGCATTAAGGGTCAGTATGCCCGTTAAACCGGTTATTTCCCGGTTACGGTGAGTAGAGGATTTCCAAGAGGCCTTGTGTGTTTAGTTGAGGCCTGGTCGGTGCACGCCACGGCCTGCAGTGTTTGGAGTAAAACTGGTAGTAATCGCGGTACTACGAGGGCTTGACACGGCACTATCCAGCTAAAGCAGAGGTGACATCACCGCTTGTTGTTTGCATTTTGTGCTCTGGGGCCTTGTCTTGGTAAAGTTAACAGCTGTTATCTGCTCGGGTTTATGATTATGCATATATTGACCTGCCCTATCGTCATTACAGCTCTGTAGTAAGCCTGTTATGAACTTGAAAAAAACTTTTAGATATCTGTCCACTAAATGTGGATTAGAAACGCACTTAGAAGGGACTGAAAGTTCACTCTGTCTATATTGTCATAGATATTACAGTTTTGTATGCACACTTACTAGGAGTGTACTTGAGGTGTCACAATAACCTCAGTATTTAAGAAAATGAACATGTCAGTAATGCATGCATTGTAACATGGTAAATAATAGGTGAATTATTCTATTTTATATTATTTTTAGTATTACAGACTCTCATGCCCATCTCCATTCATAGGTATTTTGGTTTTCATTAATTTGCGAGAAAAGTCAATGTATAGTAAACAAAATTATAGATGCATTTGTCTGATAGCATTGCTTCTTATTTTAGTATTGGCCTAGCCTGCCCAAATAACTTTGTAGACGTGCTGTGCAATGTAAGAACACTATCGGATATCATTTATTACAATGCGGGTTAATTAAATCTGGTTACGAGAGCCAAAATATCTGTAAGAGTTCACCTCTTGACACTGTAATCTCTCGCAGCTTCTAATAGTAAACACTAAGTGTGACCATAAACATCCTGTAGGGCATACAGTTTTGTATGTATGGGGAATATATGTCCTAGAAGGGTCACAAAAACCATGATTTTGACAATTAAATATCAATAATGTGTAGTTCTTTTTTAACCAGTATAATCCAAAGCTGCAGGTGTCTTCTATCATATTATGCTTATACATATGACCTGCCCTGTTGTTATTGTAGTTTTGTAGTGATCCTGATATGAACTTTAATCATAGGCTCTGCATATAAGAAAACTAAAGGATATTACACATTGAAGACATCATAAGGGACCGGTGTCTCTAAAAGGTCACAGCTTGACATTAGACATTAGAGATCCTTGCCACATATTGTAGTGAGGTTTATGGCAGTGTTGGCATAAATGTTATTGAGGACATAACGTTTTGTGTGCACAAGGAATATATGTACTAGACAAGTCACGATAACCATGATTGTATTGTAAACACCTGCATTTTCAAACTCTCTCATAACCTCCATGCACTTCTAGTTTCATTAAAATATATTTTAACTACTTGCAGGATATCTATTTCAGTGTATAAAATGCCTAGAAAAAAATGAAAAATGGTTCAGTGTAACACAGACTAATTTCCTTTCCTATACTTGGACCCATGGTGCTTTTACATGCACTGGCATGCATACACCCCTCCTCAAGACTCTTTCCAAGCTAGGAAAACCTTGTTTGGGGTAATTTCTGATAAGACTGGGAATGTTTTATATCGATTAAAGTAAAGTAAAAATCACCCTATGATTCAGTTCATGCGTGATTTCATAATGATTTTGGCACAGTTATGGTAGAAAAGTGGCTTACACTTGAACAGACGCCTATTCAGACTAAATGATCCGTCAGTCATGTTTTTCTCTTTCTCTCATATGACTTATATCAGCTCCATGGGGCCTACAGTCGGTATTCACAACAGCTCAAATGCTATTCTGCAAGTAAATTACGACTGAACTTGTTACCCCGCTCTTTATGTGCGCCTGATGATTACATGAATGTGAAACATTAAAGCCACAGACCTACTTTACCTCCCATATGGACTCCCTTGCACCATATTTCACTGAGGTTACTGTGTGTTGTGTCAGTTTGCCTTTAAGCTCTTATCGTACGGCCCATGACTCTGACACCAGCTGTTGTACACAGTGCACTACTGAGTAAACACATGTAGCATACCTCTATCGTGACCAAGTAAGGCCAGCTGCCAAATTATTTTATGGTGTCTGCTCTACAGTTGTCTGTCCTAAATAGGGATTTACATAGAGGCCAGTGATGGCTATGAGCTCTCAACCTCTCCGTGTGCACTATCAGCTATCAGCACATAGATGTTTGCTTTGTGTGATGTGTGTGTATGTGCGTGTGGCCTTGAGACAGGCGGCACTCATCTCTGAAAATGGATTTCTCTCCAGCCGATGTGATGTGTCAGATATTAAAAGGACCTGAATGAATGCAAGCCTTCACAGACAAACAGGAAGGCAGCAAAAGGGAACAGAGACGAGCAGACAGAGAGACCGAGACTAGTGGGAGGACGAATGTAGAAACAGGGACAGGCAGGCAGACATGTAAGTTAACAGCCAAACTGTCACTGACAAGTAGACATGCCTAGTGGTTGGTTGATAGACATCATAACAGAACATTTTGACAGTGACCATCACAGCTGGAGTGAGGAATTACATGACAGAGTATATAAGGGCTGTGTTGACACTCCCTCTTATATACATGTTTCTGTATCTATGGAGACTTCACTTCCCAAAGAGATAAGCTAGAGACCACAGCAGCTACATCCTGAGGCTAGTCCAGCGCACACCAGCCACACAGCAAACAAACCAGCTAAGTGATCACAGCTAAATCAATCTGTTTTACTTTCTAAACGTGAGTCTGAGCTGTGAATGAGGCTGGTGCAGAATAAGAGATAATCTGAATGACTCTGGCACGGCTAAGAGCGCTGCTGAATGACTCTGGTGTGGAATAGCAATTATTGTGAACAACTCTGTGTTTCTGGATGACTGCGGCACAAAAACGAGTATAGAGACTAAGTGGAAGGAGAGGAAGGAAAACGGGGGAGATGAGAGGTAAAAAAAAACCAAACAAACAAAAATCGATATTGTGGAAAGAGCGAATGCAGGCAAGGAGGATAAGAAAGAAAGCATAGCAAAGAGAGAGGGAGGAATAAAGTAACGGGAAGTTAGGTAATGGTCTTCCACAGGAAATGGAGTTAGTTGTAGGGGCGGATTGCTCTGCTTTGAAATACATAGATAAAGGTCGCCACTGAGAAAGAGAGAGAGAGAGAGAGAGAAAGGGAGGGTTTCAGTATGTGAGCAAAGAAGGAATTCCCCCGCCTCTACTGCCCGGGCCAAGAAGTAGTGTGTGCGTGAGTGTGTGAGAGAGGATTGCATGCAGAAAGGCTTGTCTGGGCAAATTGCAGAGTGCTCCTCACTATTTCCATGCTGCGCTGTAAGCCTACATTGTGTTTATCCTACAATATGGCCTCCTGTTTTCAATATGTACCTGGTATGGCTGTAGGTCTTGTGTAATGTGAGTAGAAACTGTTATGTAATGAATTAATGTGTAATGAATTTGTAGATGAGTCATGTTCATTACTACTCTAATACGATGGTGCATCATTTAGCGGGGAATACATTTCTTTGAATTATAATTTAACTGTTTGTTACAATTTTTTTTTTTAATATCGTTGCTGTGTTTTTGTTTTTGACTATTTGCCGTTTTTAGAATGTTTTCAGAAATTACTTTGAGTTGTGTTTCTGTCTGAGTGTCTTTGCTGCACAGGAAACCCACACTCACCTGTTCTTCTCCTCTTTTCAGAGTCTCTGGAATAAGGTGGGCAAGTGCCGAAGTCGCGCAACGAACACGAGACAGGATGAGAGTGAGAGGGCCTGGCAGAGAAAGAAAATAGAGTGAAAGGAAAGGAGGAGGAAATAGCGCAAGAGAGGAACGTCAAGGAGAATCTCTGGGATAAATAAATAAAAGAGTTGTTTTGAGAAAAAGGAACTAGATGAAAAGATGAAGCCAATAAAAAAGCGCTCCCCTCCCTCCACCCGGGCTAAAGGAGGAAAGCGGCGAGGAGCGGGGGATACCTTGGAAGGAGGAGAGAAGAGAGACTCAGATGAGAACAGAGACAGAAGCAGATCTCCGCAAAACCGAACTCCCTCCTCCTCGTTATCTTCTAACTCACATTCAGAGTCTCCACAGGCGGACACATCCAGAGCGCGGGACTCTTCAGATGGGGAGGGGAGGTCTGCTGCCAGCAGCGGTGGTGGCAGCAGCCACTGTGACAGCAGCGGCAGCAGTTGTAGTAACAGTAGCACACCAAGCGCCAACAACAGTCCAAACCCCGCCTCCAGCCGGAAAACAGCCACCTTCAAGGCCCGCGTCCCCAAAAAGAAGTACACCTCCGAACACTGCTCATCTAATACTGCTGGTAACTATAGCAACCCTGCATCCAGCACGCCCCCTCCTTTTTCTCTGAGCCAGGAGTCAGCGGGTCCAGGAATCGACATCAGCGTCTCGCATTCTGACGGAAACGGTCAGAGTAGGAGCTTGATGGATGACTTCCACAGTCGTACCACCAGCAGGGAGGGGTCTCAGGACTCCCCGGGACCGCCAATCCTGTCGCTTGGAGGGGAAAAACCCAGAGGAGGTGAAGGAGTGACAGATGCAGAGCAGGTGTCCCCAAGCCCGCTGCCCCGCTGCTCCTCAACAGACACAGCCAGCGAGCACTCGGCTGACCTGGAGGTAGTTGGTGACACACCCCCTCAGATGTCGACACACAGAACGTCTAGTCTCCCTGACGCACTGTCCGATGCTCTGGCCAAAGGCCTGAAGAATCAGCGGATCCTCGCCCGCCAGCTCAGGAGAAGAAGTGATGAGGAGGGAGGAAGTGACAGGAGGCACGACTTGGTATTCCGGGCTGGCGTGGTCCGTAACGTCAGTGGTGAATATGGAAGCCTGGAGGTTCAGCTGAACGGGGAGAAGACGTTATGCCGCTATCCTTACCGACATGAGAGCCCCCCAGGGGTGGTGGACATTATCCTAGATGCCCCACCTCCTGGTGTGCATCCAGTACCTATAGGCACCCGTGTCTGTGTACCATTTGGGAACGACGAGGGCAGCGAGAGCCAATGGCAATGGTACCGAGAAGGTGTGGTGACACAGGTAGACCCACACCCTGCGGTGGCTAACCGCTACCGTGTCCTGCTGTCTGAAGAAAGGCCTCACTCTCTAGATGATGAAGAAAACAACAGGGGTGCTACCCAGGCAGTATGGGTCTCCAGACAAACACTCCGGCTTCTGGTGCCACCCTGGGACTTGGATTTGCCTTCTGCTGGTGGACATGAAGTAGAAGAGGGGGTAAGAGACAAGGAGAGAGATCGGGAGGAAAGGGAAGAGATGGATGTGGAGGTGAGACGTTTGAGTCGACAAATGACCCCGAGCATGGGATCAATGTTAGGGAGAGGAATGCCCTACCCAGGAATGGTTCCCGTTTCCTCCACATCGGGCCACAGCATCACCTCGCCCGTTACTCCGACTTCAGTCCTCAGCCTGGCTCCTGGGCGAGAGAGGGAAATCGAGAAGGACTTGGAGTGGGAGTCACAGAGAAACCATGGAAGAGAGAGGGAAAGAGAGCGAGAAAGGGAAAACAGTGTAAAGCAGCAGCAGCAGCATCACCCATATATGCCCCTCACCCCTGAAGAAGACATGGAAGTGTCCGGCATCAACATGGTCCAAGTGGGGCAGATTATATCTGGGGGCAAGCCTATGGCAGTTCCCCAACATCGTCACATTGTTTCTAAGACCCCGTCTGGCTACCTCAACCCCCATCCCCACTTGTCTGTGGTGCGAGGCATCGGGATTCCCCCTGCTCACATGACCTTGAATCCCCACCCCTCTCCTTCACCTGTCCTGTTAGGCCTTGACCCAGCAGCTGCAGCAGCCGCAGCAGCTGGAGCTGTCATTACCACCCCTCAGCTCCATCCTCTCCCTCCCATCACCTCTTCCACTACATCCTCCTCCAGAGTGGATAAGACATCAGGGGGAGGTTCTGCCAGCAGTGGAGCAGGTGGTGGATCCGGATCAGGTTCGACATCCTCCTCCTCGTCACGTTCCCGGACTCCGCTGACAGCTGCCCAGCAAAAATACAAGAAGGGAGACGTGGTGTGCACGCCGACAGGTATCCGAAAGAAGTTCAACGGGAAGCAGTGGAGGAGACTGTGCTCTCGGGAGGGCTGCTCCAAAGAGTCCCAGCGGCGAGGGTACTGCTCCAGACACCTCTCCATGAGGACCAAGGAGATGGAAGCCAGTGGAGGGGGCCGGGATCGGGGCGGCGCCAGCAGCACAGGGACCCTAACACCATCTGACCTCCGACTCAGCGGTGGGAGAGCCAGTTCAGAGTTTGACTGGGATGAGACATCACGGGAGAGCAGTGAGGCCAGCAGCCGTGGAGGAGACTCTCGCCCCCGCCTCGTCCTTCCCTCGCTGCTCCCCCAGGACCTTTCTCGCTTCGACTTCGATGAATGTGAGGCGGCAACTATGCTCGTCTCTCTCGGGGGCTCTCGTTCTGGCACGCCTTCATTCTCCCCCATCTCCAACCAGTCACCCTTCTCACCCACGCCATCCCCATCACCCTCTCCGCTCTTCGGTTTCCGCCCTGCCAATTTCAGCCCCATCAATGCTACTGCCTCACTTACCCCACGCCGCCCCCGACAGCTAAGCGGCACTAAGATGGGTACGCCAGGCGCAGAGAGAGAGCGCCATCTGTCAGGGATTGTGCCCACTTTTCAGACCAACCTGACTTTTACAGTCCCGATGAGCCCCAGCAAGAGGAAGTTCGACTCCCACCCGCCCCCACCGCTACCTGCTGTCCAGGACTACCAGACCAAACCTGAACAACAGCAGCTGGTGGGTGTTGGGGTGGTGGGAGACCCACCCATGGGCCATAGCCCTGCTGCCTTCAGAGTGCTCTCCCCCCAGAGTCAGCCCACAACACCTTCCTCACTTTCCTTCTCTCGTCCTCGTAGCGCCACCAGCAGGCCACCATCCTCTGCCGCCTCCACGCCTCCACCCATGTTAGTCTCTCCAACTCCTCCTTCACCACTTCCCCAGGAGCCGTCCCCACGCCGCATCGTGCCCCTCCGGGACTCCCCAGTCATTGTACGCAACCCAGATGTCCCCTTGGCCAAATTCTCCGATGGCCCGTCGGGAAAGAGAGAGAGAAGCAGGTCGAGGGAGCACAGCCAGCACACAGCTCCCCCAGGCCTGCAGGCCCCCGTCCCCATCAACGGGGCAGCCACCAACGGGGCAGTTCTCCTCCGCAATCCCACATCCACGCTCGTCCTGGTCACATCCAGCTCGGTAAGGGCGTCATTCTTTTTTTTGTGATATATGACTATGTACTGCATGGGGTCATAGGTTTGTATTTTATATCTCTAATATTTTAATTATGTCTTTATTAGCTCATATTATAGAGCATTTATAGGTGTTAGGGCAACAGAAATAAAGTGAGAAAGCTTTCTTAAATAACATACAACTGGTGTGACCACCATTTTCCTTCCAAAGAGTGATTGTCAAGCTAAAAAGAGCTCACATCCCAAACCCCACAGTTTTTATCAGTTTACAATGAAAAGGATCCGAGCTGTATTTTAGTAAAATAAATATAAGAAACCTTTGTTTGAGTGTTTTACTTATAATGATTCATTCAGCTTGTTTTCACTCCATATTTCTTACACCAGTTTGGCCCCAGTGGGGCTTAGTCTAGTCCTTCCTTCTCTTGAATTAATAAAATGTTACTTGCCTTGTGGTTTTCAAATTGCTGAAAACAAAAGATCAAACAAAATACATTTAAAAGTGAGCAACAATACCTCTTTCCATGACAGTTACTCAAGAAAATCCTGAAACCTTGAACACTTTAATGTAGGGACTTGTCATTTACTTTCTGCCAAATTTTGAACCACATCACTGTGTAGAAGGAAGCAAACATCCAACCGTGAGCATTAATGGTGACCACTCTGCTAAGCTGCCATGTTTGCCATCTGAGCACTTCTTCTGACTGGCCGGTGTGCTTCAGTTGGAAGAAAACATCAATGTTTGTGATTTTTTTTTTTTGAGTAACTGCGTCACAGGGCTGTAGACTTAATTGAATTTTAATTTAGAGTAAAATTTTGGTTTCTCGCAGTAATAAAAACAAGACAATCGAGACAAAACACTTATTGTCCCACAATCTATTTTGCTGCAATGTTCTCCAGCCCATCGTTTTCCTTTACTTTTTCCTGTCCGTGACAGTCCAGAGTCACTCTCCATTAGACTGCAGGAGGTTTAGTTCATATGTATTTATTATTTATTTAGTTTTTAGTTAGTTTTTTGGTAAGTGAGGATCCCTAATGGCTTATGATTTCCAGAAAGAGATTTTCACATGTATTTTTGCCATTTTGCCTCTGTCAGTGCGCCCCAGGGTGGCTGTGGCTACAATGTAGCTGCCATCACCTGTGTGTGAATGTGTGTGTGAATGGGTGGATGACTGGTTGTGTAAAGCGCTTTGGGGTCCTTAGGGACTAGTAAAAAGCGCTATAAAAATACAGGCCATTTACCATTTACTTTGTTACCACAAACGTTTAATGTCATTATATTGAATAAAAGGCGTGTGACTTCTTGACAACTCATACCAAAGCGATCTAGATGGACAAGTGAAACTATAGGCCAAAGACAAAATAAGTAATTTCGAGGTGAACTGTCTCTTTAAAACAGCAACAATTTATGCAGGTCGATGTTTGTGTTAAAGATATGACTGGTAGACTGGTTTGCGTGCATTCCCAGACTGACTTCATGACGTTGACGTCAAGTCTCTGTTGGGGCCTGCTTGTTCCAAAGGTTGTTCTAACTAAAGAATAAATTTGGGACCAATCAGGTGCCTCTGATGATATTCGTGATGAATAAGAATCTCACCCTCTAAAATAGCCTACAATTGTGCATGGGACTGCACATCATTATCACCTAAACCTTGTACATTTTGTATTTTGAGCTGTGACACCCGGAGTTGGGGTAAGGAATCCATTAAAATGAGATTAAACAGTTTTGAAACCATTTCGCGCCTGGAAAAGGCGTTACCAGCTGCAGGATGTTTTGAATAATCCGAGTTTCCTTAAAATACTATAAATATTTTTTTTGATGTCTCTTCCCCAGTCCTTGACTCCAGCCACAGGGGGCCACGCTTCCCTCTCCAGCCCCTCCACTCCTGGGTCCATGTCTTCTTCATCAAGCTCTGTGTTCTCCTCGTCTGGTTCCGGAGGCAGGGAGAGGGAGAGGAAACCCGAAGGGCATCAAGACGCCAGTGGTGGGGCGCTGCCACAGCCGGTAGCCTGTCATCCCACACCAACAGCCCTGCTGCCCCTCATACTACCAGCAGAGTCGCCTCACCCTGCTCCACGCAAGCAAATCATCATGGGACGCCCAGGGACCGGTAAGAAACGAGGGGGAGGGGGAATGGGAGATCATTTCTTTGTGGTCTGAACCTCTGTTCTGTCAGATTTAGAGTCAGCTGAGCCACACAGCCTAAAGTGTGAAGAGATGTGCAGCTTGTGTCTTATGCACTCTGGCCCAGTACCTCTCACTTTCAGTATCTCTCTAGGATTACAGCTGTGTCATCAATGCTTTGGCTATGACTCACGTACACTTTACTATTGTTCCCTTGCGTTCAGATGGCTTTTTGTTTGTTTGTTTTTTTCTCTTTGTTTCTGTTTTCAGAAAGTTTATAAGAATTTTTCCACTGCTTTGGGCTTCGCAGAGGACTGGTATCTTCTTAGAAATGTTAGAATTTCACTTTTAAAATATTACACAGGCTACAACACGGAAAAGCAATTCCATTAATGTGAAATATACTCTTAGCAAAGAAGTGGAAGAGTCACAGATGAATAAAATACAGATGAAGTGGTTGTTTGTGTTTATTCAGAGGCATTTTTGACCCAAACTTTAGTTCGTTTTAGGTCACACATGCAGTTTTTGTTGTAGACTAAGGATATCGTACAGTACAGGGCTTTAAATTTGAATTTTAAAAAAGAATGCCTCCTTTAATTACTTCCCACAGGGGGGATTTATACACTTTGGGGACAGGATACTACATTGTTCTGTTCTTACCTCAGTCTGTGTTGTCGTTCTTCACAGAGTAAATCATTGCCATTCATCATTTCTGCTGTCCGTGTGTTTTATGGCTTTCTTTTCCTCTTGCCTCCATGGCTGCGCTGGTAGTTTTCTGGCTTAGCTCGCTCTTAATGGCCATGCATTCATTACTGGTTCTGCTCAACATTATTATATCTCTGCAACTGTGTGTTAGAATGTCCCACTCTATATGTGCAGGAATTGTTTAAATCATATGCAACACCCACAATCCCACCCTGACATTCCAGCGGTGATATATTTATTTTCCTTTTGGTTATCAATGTTGTCTTAAATTGTACCATCGGGAGAGCCTTTAAAATACCAGCTGTGCTGTAGTTGTGTGAAGATGCCGTTTTGCATGAGGGAGAAAGGAAAGAGAGATTGAGTGCTTGTCCATAATTGGTAAACATAATGAGGTCTGTAAGCTGATACTTATAAGAAAGAAGAATAGCTTAGAAAACTGCTTTCTAATGAGGCTTCTATATCAAGCAGGGTTCAGAAGTAGTGAACTCCATGGTTCTCTAAAGGTTGTAGGCCTGTTATAAATCACTCTTACTAAAGTCTAATAAGACGTGGATAACTCCGGTTCTCAATTGAGACAGATTGTGCCACTAATTATATTCCATTTAAGAGTCAACAGTACCTCACAGATTATCCATTATAGGGCAGATTTGCTAATGACAGAGAAAGTGCAAAACCCCCAATTACTGCTGGGATTTACAAAAGAGGTGCAGTGAAAAGTTAGCAATATTTGGAGGGGTAATTTTATACTCAATGAGGTGTTCAGTGCTCGAAATGGTTGCAGTAGTTGCCACTATGAGTGTTTTTGAAATTTCAGGAGAATCAGGGATATTTTCCATCCTTGTCCTTCCTCACATGGAGTGAATAGTCTGTTTCAAACACATTTGCATTACTGGAACTACGCCTTGTGGTTTAGGTGAAGGAGCTGCCTGCAGAGAGCACGCAGGAGGGAGTGCACATGACACCCACTCTTTAGTAATGAATGCACTGGACAATTATCTGCTCTATTCTCACATCAGCACAATCTGACATCGCACAGATGTTGTATTGGGGAGCTGGCAGGTTGAAGACTGGCAAATGCCCGATCTGCATGTGTCAGACTTTTGCATTCTCACGTGGATTTCTGTTGGGTGATGTGAAGAATTCAGGGCTGCACTGCATGTGTGAAAACAGCTAATTTATTTGGAATAAGTGCGTAATCGCTGATCAAGTCTGAGTGTGTGCCTTGGCTATCCACTGGCAGTAAATTTAGTCTTTAAAGTAAGGGCGCAGTTGAAAGTACCAAGTAGAAAGCTTCACTTGAGTTGTTAGCAGATTACTCGAACCTTCATCAAGCGTGCTCTTGGTGGATTATGCTGGTGATTACTGAAATGAATCAGCTCTTCCTGTGTTCATAAATCGCCCGCCTCAACTTTCCCCTTCCTCTGGACCTTATTTGTGATTTTAGCTGCACACTAATGTGCACTCTGTAAGCTGGATTTATAGTACTATGTTAAATCTGTGGTTTAAAATCTATGCTTACAGCCTACAGTGTAGCTTGATCTCCACAGAAATGTAACTACAGGTTACAGCGACATGGATCTCACAAACTGTGACAGGTCTGTTCAGTAATAATATGCAGCGCGAATGCATTTTATTTTCTTAGGGTTTTAGTTTTAGCTATCTTGCTCAGTAGGCTGTAGATGTTAGTTTTTTGCCAGTGTAGACTATATACACAGAATATGTGTAGACTCTGTTTGTTCTGAATCCTTTTCTCCTTCCTGTGATTCAGTAATAGTAACTGTTGTTAAAGATTTATTAGCTCCAAGCCCATCATGAACGGCTTGGTTTCACTCCTGATGGCAGAGCAATGCAGACACACCAGGGTGCACCAAATATAAATGCAAACAGTACTGCACTACTACTACAAATTAGTATTGCAATATTCTAACTGTTGTTATCCATGTGCACTAAAGATGGGGACGTAACAATTCTGAAGCTAAGACCAAAACCTCAGTAAAATATTTTGCATTATCCATTGTTCCCTGACCCAAAGCAGAGCTGCTCGCCTGACGAAAGCTGTAATGTTCATGCAGTGAGGGAAATATAAACACATCAGAATGACTGAGTTTATTCTTTGTTTAAGAGCTAATTATGATCAAGTGATGTGGACTGTGGTAAAAAATTGATTCTCTATTTTTTGTTGTTGCTTGTGTAATAACCAGAGTTGCTTACAGTTTTGTATATTTTTATTAGTTACATTGTTTAAAAATGTTTTGTTTCTATTTAGTTTTATTTAGTTTTGGCTAGTTTCAGTTTTGGTGATTATTATAATTAGGGGCAGATTTAAAGAGTCCAGAATAGCTGGGTGATAGGTTACAGTCATGCAGTGATCCCGGTCTGAGATGACTCTAGTTGTGTTGGCAAATGTAACCGTGCTGACAAAGACTAAAACTATAAAACTGGGGAAAATCTGAGAATTTTATTTTATTTTCAGTAGTTTTGTTTTCTTTCTTTTCTTTCTTTCTTTTTCAAAATCTAATTCTTATCTTTATTTCAGTTAAGTAAAATGTTTTTTTTTTTCACAGCAACTTTTAGATTACTGTGTTTAGTTCACTATTATAACCTTGGTTTGAACTAAGCTGTAGTTTTTGCAACACAACTACTAGGCAGCTAGGAAGAAAACCAGAGCACCAGCACTGATCCAACAGAAATTGTTTATAACACATGAGACAGAAAGTAAAATTAATATCATTTTCTAATTTCACTCGACTGTGACTCTTCTACCAGAAGCTGAGACCAGTTTAAATGAATCTTCTCACCCAGTCAGGTGGTGGGATGTAAGAAAATTGGCTAGCGAGAAATGTAGGTGCTTGGGTTCATCATCTACTTTGTGCTTGTTTCCATGCCAACTTTGTGATATTACAGCCTGGGCAAGCTCAGAAATGTTACTTTGAATATATGAATGACGAAGATTGTTTCCATTTAAAATGCCTGATTTCTCATTTTGTGTCATTTTGATGCAGCACTTTGTAAATCTGAAAACTGAAAGTGGAGGATATTGGCAATTTATAGGTTGGTTGGTTTCACGGTTGATAGTGAGATGATGTAGAAGCAGAATATTTTGCACAGGCAGTCACGTAGACGAGGATAAACATAGACATAGCTGCAGATTAGTTTAAGGCAGGGGTTCTTTAAGTTTTAACGACTGAATGAAGGGAGCCATGATACGAATGAAGGCTACAGAGGATAAATGCACACATCAGACAAAATAATGCTAAAAGCTGACATTTATTTATTAAACATGAAGATAACAGAAAGCTTCATGAGAACCTGCTGACAGAGAGAGTAAGAGATTGCCTGTATACCACATGAACACGTTATTTTTAATCATTAGTTTTATTGGGATTAGTATTAATATGCTTAAATGATTGGAGAAGTTCAGCACATCAACATAGCGTCTCTTACCTGTGGCCATTTCCTCCTGGCCAGAGTTTTCTTAAAGCCCGTCTCCATCTCCATCTCTGACATGTCAAGGGTGGATTGCATGCGATCTTAGCTTGGACTTGTTGATGGTGGAGAAGGTTTTGTTTTATTTATATGTCAAACAGAGAGGCCACTCTCTTTGTATGCTTGTTTAAGTGCAGAGTGTCGACACTCGGAGTCCGTCAGTGCTACGTAGAGCTTTGTTCAAGGGGCAGTGTCAAAAATATGTGCATTAGCTGGTAATGTTGGGTGCTTTTATTCATGTCTTTGTTCCTAAGTAAACAGCAGTTCTGATATATGTATAAAGAACGTCTTTGTCATAAAGTAAAAGTGTATTAACAGCAAAAATTGCGCAGTAGAGCCACTGTCTGTGGTTCTTTCTCTTCATCGTGAACTTTGCTTAAATTTCCTTTCCTCTTTAAACAATTAATTAGCATTTAATCCACGTGTGATGTCATCCCCATCAGGCTATGTGTTTTTGGCTTTTTGGTATCTGTAGCCTTTGCATTAATTGTACTGGTTGTATTGTGTGTGCAAATAAAATGAAACCTTGAATCCTGCACAAGCCTGAAGGAGTCATTGAAACTCACTGAGGTCGATGAGTAATGGCCTTTACGGCCTATCGTGACTTCACTTCTTGGTCAGTCGCTCTAGTGTTAAGGTTGCTGGTTTATGTTTCAAAATGCATTTGTTGCTTTTAGATTGTTTGTAATGCAGTACAGATCTTGGTTTTTGTTGGTATTTGTATTTTTCGGTGCTGTTTTTCAAAGGGGAGATAAAATCGCTTTCAATATTTGGTGTACCCACAGGTCAGTAAAA